GGGAAAGAGCTAGTATAAGTGGTTCAATGAAAATTATGCTCTGCCCATATTACAGCTAAGCTGCTAATTGAAACCACTAAAAACTGCTTGCTATTTCAGACTAATGAAAAGTAGAATTGATCCACAGAGGCTCAAGACTTTACTACTGAGAGCACAAGACATACAAAATACATAGCACAACACAGAAAAATATCCTGTTGCTAGGCGTTGCATGACTTGAACACAGAGGAACATGCAATATTTTCTTTTTATATATTTATCCCTGTTCTTTTAAAGAGCTGCTCAAATCACTGACTTTTAAAAAAAAAAAAGGCTGTGTATGTGCAGGAATAATATGAATTAAAAAAGTATCTTTATATTGTTGAACTCCTGTTGTCCTCTTTGCACTACAAAATATTTCCCACTACTGATGATATTGTAATGTAAGCCTTACCTTTAGCACGGTACAGTAGAATACTGTAACATTTAATATTGAACCTGAACTTACGCTGGCGACAACCTGGACCTCCCTTCAAATGTATGGACAAAGAAGCACTGCTAAAGCCATGTGGGTGTGTATGAGGAGGGCAGAAAGAATAATCATGGGCTCTTCCACGAGGATTTGAACGGTAGGCCAAAAAAAATCCCTTGCAAGCTCCCAAAGAGACCAAGACTTGTCAAAAAGAATGGATAGGTGTCTAAAACTATCAGATTTAGACAGAAGGAAAAACAGGTCTCTTACAAGTAAATTTTTCTCCAACAAAACCCAAAGGCTGCTATGTAGCAGCTGCCATCTGCTGCCAGAATTTTTGGCAGTGAAAGCAACTAGTGGTGACAAGGTTTTGATGGAAGCAGTCATGTGCTTAAAATTAAGCAATTATTAGATTTGGGTCCATGATCTCTAGGACAGATGTCTTCGTCACTGAACATGGAAGAAGATTTTCAATTTAAATTGCGGGGAGGTAGGCAGGGAAGGCAAAATCACTGTAAGAGATCCAGCTAAAATAAAATTATATATATGAAAAAATACTGGCTGAAGCTTATCTGTTTATTTGCACAAAGTAAAGGATTAGCTCTGTATAAAGCGGATATACAGAGCTTTGAAAATACAAAGTACCAGAAAAAGACTATGTGTTATAATATAGGGCATTTACCATTCTTGCCCATGATGTGTCAAAATATATTGCTAACTCTTATGAGAGATTGCAATGGCAATCCTGTGACCACAGCTATTTCTGAGACCACCGCAAAAGAACCACAAACAGGGTAGCACATTAAGGCATTATCTCTGCAAAGATTTCTGTGCATGGTTAATGTCATGTATTGTGAATAAACTACTGAAGTCAACAGAACTACCCTTAATGAGCATGTATGTAAGTTTCTGCAAGAGTAGGAAAGAAGAATAAATCATCCAACATTATCACTGGAATTTTCTTTCCACTTACAAGTTTAAAAACAGATCCCTAACTTAATTTGATTCAAGTTTTTGAGGTCTGTTTCTCTCTTCTCTTTACAGACAGAAAAAATATCCAGACCAAATATGCAAGAATCTCTAATTCCATTGATATATATGTATTTTAAAACATACTCACTGTTCTAAAAGTTGTTCATATTTTGCTAAAGCATGTTTCTCCGCCAAAATTGCTCTCTGTTTTTCAGCTACGGCATTATCTCTTGCTTCTCTCAAATTTCTGAGGAAAAAAAATTTTGTTAGACAATTGTTACATATCTTACTCTATGATAAAGGATACATAAAAGGATATGTTGATTTATCTTTTTT